ACACTCCCAGGGCAGGGACAGCACAGGGTTAGATACAGAGTAAAGCTTCCTCTACACTGTTCTCCCGCATCAAACACTCCCAGGACAGGGACAGCATGGGGTTAGATACAGAGTAAAGCTCCCTTTACACTGTCCCCATCAAACACTCCCAGGACAGGGACAGCATAGGGTTAGGTACAGAGTAAAGCTCTCTCTACACTCTCCCTGTCAAACACTCCCAAGACAGGGACAGTGTAGGGTTAGACACAGTAAATCTCTCTCTACACTGTCCCTACCTAACACTCACAGGACAGGGACATCAACCTGTTAGATATGGACGAAAGCTACCTCTACACTGTCCCTATCAAATGCTCCCAGGGCAGGGACAGTACAGGGTTAGATATAGAGTAAAGCTCCTTCTACACAGTCCCCCATCAAACACTCACAGGACAGGGACAGCACGGGGTTAGATACAGAGTAAAGCTCCCTCTGCACTGTCCCCCATCAAACATTCCCAGGGCAGAGACAGCACAGGGTTAGATACAGAGTAAAGCTCCCTCTGCCCTGTCCCCCATCAAACATTCCCGGGGCAGGGACAACACGGGCTTAGGTACAGGGTAAAGCTCCCTCTGCACTGTCCCCCCCCATCAAACACTCCCAGGGCAGGGACAGCACAGGGTTAGATACAGAGTAAAGCTCTCTCTACACTGCCCCTATCAAACACTCCCAGCACAGGGACAGCATGGGGTTAGATACAGAGTAAAGCTCCCACTACACTGTTCCCCATTGCACTCCGGGGTATTTATAGCAAAGATAAGTTGAATGTGTATTGTATTTTTTTGGTTCCTTTAATATGTCACAACATCTTGAGCTGTGTCACAGGAAGATTATTAACTATTATCTGACACTGAGCAATGATAGGAGATTAGAACAGGACTGAAAGTTTAATCAAAGAGGTTGATTTCAAAAAGTATCTTAAAGGCAGAGAGAAAGAGAAAAGCAGGGTGTTTTTCTCAACCAGTACTTCAAAACGTTAAGAAAATATTGCCATTTTGTTCTTCATCCAACCAAAGGTATATATTTCACAGTGTGATTTACACAGTTTGATTTAATTCACCCAGAATCAGTCCAAAGTGACTGTTAACTTCTGAGGTTCCATTGCTGTTTTATCTTCCCAACCACACAGCTTGTGATTTTAGACAAACAGAAGCAGAAATTGCTGGACATTTTCTCCTCCCCAGGGTTCAGCCTCTTGCTGAAGTTTGTGGATTCCTCCAGCCTCATTGTAACTTTGCATGGATTTATTCTTTTCAATCTGAGTGTCAGCTTCCACTCCTGTTCCTTTTCAGTGAACCAGAGAGTTTTGTATTTATAACTAATGCCTATCTCCCAGATCCAGGCAGGTTCAAAGCACAGTTTTTGACTTTCTGTGGGTATTGCAGGAAGGCATTTAACTTGATCTTTATAATGGCTTCCTCTGTACCCTTTCCCATGACAGTGTGACTCACATGGGCCTTGTATCTAGGCAGAAATGCTAAATCTGCCTACTTTATAGCCCAACCCTCATAATTAAGTGGACAGTTCAAAGCACAGCAGTTTATAACCCAACATTCACAGCATTTTTTTGGGACTTTGGAGACTCTCAGTCCCCACTGTTAATATTCAGCTGCTGTCATTTCTCTGAGTCAAAATGCCTTCCATCCTCCCCACAGTCGGAGCGTTCCTTTAGTTTTTAACAATCAAATCACCCTGGTTTACTGTCACACTGACTTCAGCACAGGCCATCTAACCCCCTTTGTTTAACCTCCCAGGACCCTGTAAATCTCACAGGAGGAACACATGGGGTTTCTCAGATTCCTGCTGTGACTGGGTGGGCAGAGACTTTCAGTAAGTCAGTCTTCCTCCTCACTTACTCATGAATCCGGTGTTATGTTTCTGTTGGCAGAGTCGCTGTGTTGGATAAAGTGACGGATTTTCTGTTGTTACTCGGCAAGTTGTTGATTGTTGGAGGTGTTGGTAAGTATTTGGATTCAATCTGCTCTGCAGCTAAACTTCTCCCATCAAAAACATTCCACTGGTTCGCTGTGTAAAGGGAAACTGTTTTATTTGCTTAAAATCACTCCCATTGCTCTTGATCCGTGGCCCTGGAAACTTTTATTTTCCCAGAATTCCCCCAATTCCCTGTTTGAAAGTGATGATTGAATCTGCTCCTACTGCCCTTTCAGGCAACGAGTTCCAGGTCCCAACAACTCACTGTGTAAAACAATCCCCCTCTCTGGGTTTTTTTCTGATTCTCTTCAATCTGTCTCCCTCTGCTCACTGTCCCCCCTGACCCTGTAAACACTGCCTCCCGATTTACTCTGTCCGATCACTTCATCGTTAATAAACTAATTAACAACGCAAAGTCTCTCAGCCCCACAATCCACAAGATCACTGTGCTCATCCAATTCCAGCCCCTTGATTTTAATCACTCCAGCCTTGGCACCGCTGCCCTTAGCTGCCTAGGCCCCAAGCTCTCGAATCCCCTCCCAAAACCTCTTTGCCTCTTTATCCCCATTTGAGATGCTCCTGAAAACCTCCCCCTAACATCGAGCTTTCATCAGTCTGTCGCAAGATCTCCACTGTACCTCAGTGTCAGATGCTGTCTGGTAACACTCACATGAATCACATTGAGAGGGGCTACAGGGGCTGCGTAACTGCAAGTGGTTGTTGTTGCATTACATTTCTATCAGATTTGAAACCCAGTGAATTTGTTTGGTTCTTATTTTCTGTCTAGGAGTGCTGGCCTTTTTCTTCTTCACACACAGAATATCGATCATTGCTGGCGAAGCCCCATCATTAAACTATTACTGGGTTCCTCTAGTGGTAAGTAATTCACTCCCTTTGTTCTTTTGTGAATTTACTGAAAAATGTGGAAACTGCAACTTCAAGAAAGAGTTGCATTTCAATAGCGCCTTAGTATATCCACTTGACAGCAATGAGTCATTTGTCACTGCTGTAATGTGGGAAAGGCACCAGCCAGTTGACTCAGAGCAAACTCCTATAATCACAAAAGTGTGATAATGACCAGATCTTCTGTTTTTGGGGATTAGAGATAGACTGAAGAATAAAAAGGAGAAAAAGCACAAGGACTCGAGGAGAAGTCTCCTGCTTTTCCTCAAACTGTTGGCCTTGTACACTTGTTGCACTACCTGAGAAGACAGACACAGCACCTCCCTGTGTGCTGAGTCTAATATTAACTCCTCAAAAAAGATTATCCCTGTGTGAGAGAGCGTGCTGTTCACCAGGTTGGTTGCTCTGCTTCCTATATTAGAACAGGACAGACATGTCAAATACATCAAAGGCTGGAAAGTGCTTTGGGATGATCCGTATTCTGTGAAAGGTGCAATAAAAATGCAGTAATTCTTTCTGTTACTCGTCATTGTGGTTGATCGCTTGAACAGACTTGTTCAGTAAAATTTGCAGATAAGGATCTGCACTTCACTGTCAGAGGGTCAGTGCTGAGGGAGTGCTGCACTGTCGGAGGGTCAGTGCTGAGGGAGTGCTGCACTGTCAGAGGGTCAGTGCTGAGGGAGCGCTGCACTGTCAGAGGGTCAGTGCTGAGGGAGTGCCGCACTGTCAGAGGGTCAGTACTGAGGGAGTGTCACACTGTCAGAGGGTCAGTACTGAGGGAGTGTCACACTGTCAGAGGGTCAGTACTG